GGAAGAGATCTGCCTTCTTCTGGCAGCAGCCATTAGCCAACTGGAGCGGCTCAAATCCAGCAGACCCTCGGCTCAGTGTTTGTCCACTGTTGTTGTCAAACTGTCAGACTTTCTGACAACTAAAATATTCATCTACGCTTTGTGGAAGAATATCTGTTCGGTCTGAAGTGCCGTCTACAAACTGATTGTTTTGTCCGACCAACAACAAAAAACTCAAAGATTTTCTGTTTATAAAAAAAGATATAAAACTGAAAAGAAGAACTAGATCTGGAAAAGTAAATGTTGACACATTGATTAATTATTCGTCTGCACTATTTCACTTCATATTGAGCCAATTATTTTCTAACAGTTCTGACCGTTGACTTTATGGGTCATGTTGTTAAATAGTTTCATCAGTATACTAGTAATTAATTACTTTTTATTCAGTAATACTGTAACTCATGGAGACTGAGATGTTAAATTAGTCTATTAATCAAGCACACAATTCAATATATAAAGGGAATAACAAATAATTTACAAATCAATATTTACTCAGGTTTGAAAGAAAGACGTTTTTGGAAATATACTAATTTTCTTTCTTGCAGTTTGATGAGAAGTTGAACCAGTTCTCGTGTCTGTGAAGTAAATATGAAGCCAGTAACCGGTTAATTTAACTTAGCACAAAGACCAGTGTTGGGAAGTAACTAAGTACATTTACTCAAGTACTGTACATGGGTACGATTACATCAAGCTTGTACTTCAGTATTTCTATTTGATGCTACTTTATACTTCAAACCTGCCACATTTTACACTCGAAACAGTCGTAACTAACTAACTGCAAGATTAAAATACACTTACATGTGCATCAATAATTAATAATATATTAATATAACACCAAAAGTGGCCATTTATTTTGATACTTCAGGTACATGTTGTGAAATCTTGAATGCAGGACTTTTGCTTGAGTATTTTCCAGGTGTAGCATTTCTACTTTTCCTCGTGTAAATGATCTGAAAACTTTTCCCAGCCCCGATAAAAAGACTGGAAACAGGAAACGAGGAGCCCCGGCTCTGCAGCATGAACGGAGGCAGAGGGAGGGTAAACTCTGGACAGGTCGTCAGTCATATCACACAGATAAATATAAATTCAAGCTCATATTCACATGTACAGACCCTTTCACCTTGGGGGTGGGGTGCTTGTACAGTGGTGTGAAATCAGAGCACAATGCTGCCCCCGAGGTCGATACATCATTACTGAACGATCGAGTTCATCACCCGTTGTACGCGGGAACATCGAGGATCCACTTTAACAAAGTGTTTTCATTTACTTTCTGTCCTTGAGTATTGTGAGGAGGATGAATAAGACACTTGAGCGGGTGGATGCAGAGTAAAAAGCCCCATCAGAGAAACACGCACTCTGCTGAAGTGTCCTCGAGCAAGACGCCGCATCGCTGCCGCATCGCTGCCGCATCGCTGCGCCGGAGCCGGCCCTCTGACCTCACCGTGGAGGAGCGCGAGCACAAAGACAATTTCCCCACAACAAATCAATAAAGTATCACATTACCATCTTCTAAATGGGAAGTGCTGTAATGTGTCATAATTTGTGTCATCAATCATTCTGTCTGAGAAGGTGCGTTTCCCCCTGAGAACACGGTTATCCATCGACTGCGGTCCAGATTGTGAGGGTGTAGGCGCAGCTCTTTTCTAGTTTGTGGGTTTTTGTTTGTGTGTTTTAACTTTCTGATCTTCAGGGTTTTTTTTTTTCTGTTTCCGTTTTCAGGATTTTTTTTTTCTGCATCTGTTTGTGTTTCTTAGTTCTTCAGCTTTTTTTTTGTTTGTCTTTTTCAGTTGTTTTATTTTTTTGGTTTCCATTTTTCTGGTGGATTCTTCAGTTTTGTGTGTGTGTGTGTGTGTGTGTGTGTGTGTGTGTGTGTGTGTGTGTGTGTGTGTCTTTTTTGGGTTGTCCTGTTTTGTTTCCCATCTCTTGTTTTTCAGCATTTTATTTTTGTTTTGTTTTTCCATTTCTTAATTTACTGTTTTTCAAAGTTTTTATTTTAACAGTTTTTTCTGTTTCAATCTTTTCTTCTTTGTGTTACTGTGTGTTTTGTTTTTCAGTATTTTCTGTTTCTTTTTTTAAATCACTTTCTGTTTTTCATTTTTTTTTGTCAGTCTGTTTCTCAGTAGATCAGTTTTTCTTTTTTCCGTTTTTCCTAATTTTTCCCATTTCTTTTTTCAGTTCCCTATAATAACACAAACTTCCAGTGGATAGTTGGTGGGTTCTACGTTAAATTATAACACATTACACAGAAACACATGATTACAAAATTAACTGGCTCCACACACACACACACACACACATCATTCACACAGATCTTATCACACAAATCATCACACACACACAAACCACACACACACCACAGCACACACACTACATCAATGTTTAAGGACACTTCGACACGTTGACAGAGGAAACCAGAGATTGAACCTTCAACCCTGCGATTAATGGACGACGTTTTCCAAACCCTGAACCACAGCCGCCTAAATACAGTTTAAATCATCATTAGCACATTTTGTTTGATAAGAGCTTAGTTAGAGAAAAGGCTTGAAGGTTTTTACAGAGTGAATTTCTGTCTCCATGTTTGTTTCCATGACCTGTTTTCCACTCTCACAGGCTTTGGCCTCAAATCTTAAAGCTGTTATGTGTTTGTTCTCTTGTTTTTATCTGTGTTTACATCCCTTGTCACTTTGTGGACAGCCTCATTTTGTTAAAGAGTGTTTTATAAATACATTTCATTCGACTTGAAAAGAAACTGGCCCTAAAAAGAGTCCCAACTGCAATAAACAGCAGACTTATCAAACTCCTCAGTGGGTCTGAGACCAAATACAGTGCATTATCGCAGAGCTCAGGACAGGGTTTACGAAGGCCTGGCAAACTGCAACCAGATGACTGGAGCTCAACTAACCACAGGACGAGGGAGGGGAGGGAGGACGGGGGGGCTTACATCCCCTTAATCACTAAACAGCTGCCTCTATAGACTCCTATAAAGCTTCAAGATGGTACCTAAAACCAACATTAACTGAAAGAGATTTAAAAACAGAGCCATAGGAAACCAATTTCCCCCAACACCAAACAAACTGAAAAAGCCCCTCAGCTTTTCTCTGCACTGCAGAAAACCCATTAAGTTCATCTGAAAGGCTCGGCGTGGATCAGTCCTGTGAATGCATGTCATGAAAGGAAGGAGGGGGTGGGGGGGGGCAACAGCCAGAGACAAATCCTGGCAGAGAAGGTGTATCTCAGGAAAAAAAAAAAAATTAAAAAAAAAGAGAAAATCCCACAGGAGCCTGTCTTCCTGTCGCAGGTGATTATTCTGGGCGACAGAAGAAGTGCTGTCTCATCGTTGTGGAGTAAAGCGACGTCACATGGGAGGGAAAAAAAAAACAAAAAAAAAAAACGGGTGGATTTGACCCCAGTGGCAGAGGAGTAACGGCTGGTGTTGCATCAGACTCGAGTAAACACCCTCCATCCATCTCGCATTTATTCAATCGAGCATCTGTTGTTTGCATTGGAGATTATTTAATGGTTTGGGCAGCCACGGACATAATTAAATATGGATTGATGTACCTTAGGTGTTGTTTATCTGCGGTACACACCTGGCTGACATGACAAGTAATGGCGTTAACAAGAAGAGGGTACACACTCATCAAGTGTTTAAGATTTAAGATCACTTTATTAATTTATTCTTTATTAAATCAACGTATTTTTGGAAAAGGAGCTCCTGTTATCTTTAAGAGCTCATAGTCACTCATGTCCTATAAATAAGAGCTGTTTAATATGCTAACACTATGGTGGAGACTTCATCTTTAATGCCATCAGATTTAATGCTAAAAAGGGTAATGTGGAGACAATTAGCTGCAGGGAGACAATTAGTATAAAGGCTTTTGTGTCTCCAGAGGGAGCAGCGTAAAGTCTGATAAATGATGTGACTTTAGTCAGCGTCGGTCGGCTCTGAAGTCTGAACAGTAGAAGAAAAAACAATCTGGGGGTGTGGATCTCATCTCCACTGCAGGCTCCAGGCTTCATCAGCCACTACTATTAAACTGATGGCGGTTGAGCTGCATTGTGGGTAATGTAGGCACCGGGTTTTGACAATGTAGACAAATGCATATAATAAGCATCGATTTTGATTGACACATTTTCTTATCCATCTTATCTGTTGGATCTTTTTTTTTGTTTTTATTGAATTTAGATTATGTGTCTTCACATAAAACTTTATTTAAATATGCCTTTAAATTATGTGTCAACACTTAAAATGTCAGTTTGGAAAAGGTGGACTATCTTTGCAGCAAAAAAGATACCTTCACAATGGAAACCTCCACACTGAGTTATTAAAATCCTATTATCAATTTGGAGCCAACATCAGCTGGGATGAGTGGGGCTAACATTGAGAGCATTTTATCCTAGCTGCCAGCTAACACGCGCTAACATCTGGCGGCAATGGAAAAGGGTTCAATCAGCGTTCACTCCACAGTCAGCACAAACACAACACCCGGGTCAACATTTAACTTTCTATTTTGTGTTTTAAACCAGAAACACAGCGGCTACACTGCGCTCAGGGATGAAAGAGTGAGCTTCTGCCCCGAAATAAGTTTCAAAAACACACACATCACCGATTGAAGCGCCTCACACGGAGGCACCAACACTGACGGGAGCACCAACCCGGGAATGAGACGCCACGGATCCATTTTACCAGTCTGCACAGCAGCTAGCAGCTCACTCTTATCTGCATGTGTGTGCGCTCTTCGTTTATATACGTGCATGTTGTGTTTTGTCCCGGGGGTTAACAAGAGATCCTTGTTGTTGAATTTTTGTATATATTGGTATTATACATTATATAGGATAAGCTGTTATTCTGGCTTTGATAAACCTGCAATAAACTAGGTGGTTTATTCTTAAAGTAACCAGGATACAAGCCCCGATCAAACCTGATTAGTGCAACATGTAAAAAATGCGTCCCCACCAACCTTTTTCCCAGGGTGCTGAGCGGCGTGCTGAGGCTGAGTGGGGCTCGTGCGGGTTTGGGGGTGCGTCCCGTCAGCTTGGTGGCAGACGGCTCCTTCTTCACGGACTCGACCTTGCGAGCTGGGCTGGCGCCGGGTTTGATGTTGAGGTCCTTCAGGACGTCGTAGTTGATCTTGGAGGAGATCCTCTTCTGCTCCAGCATCTTCTCGATGGCCTCGTCGGCGGTGCTGGCTCGGATCGGTTGACGCCTCTTAGCGGGGCCTCTTGGCTGGTACGAATATCAAAAGTTTCTTTGATTAAAAAACAATCTCGGCTGTGACTGTACATATTGGAAACAGGTCACGATTAAGACCTCATAGTCTTTACTGAACCCAGATCTACCCATGAGATGGTCAAACGTTATCTGGAAATAATTTTTTCTTCCCATTAGGCTGTTTAGGTCCCAGAGGGGATTTACCCTCTAAAAATAAGTGAGTAATTTCAGACCACCAGCAGAACATTTCCGCAAGCAAATCTGCAGTTAAACACATTTCTGTAATCAACAATTTATCTCAATTAAGACACCAGATTGAGGTCATCACCCAGCTTCAGTTATTCCACATTCACCTTGACCTCCCTGAGATTTATGGCCACAGATCATCGGGGTTTCTCTTCACTGAAAATGTAAACTTTTAACCACATTTCACACGTCTTAAAACCGCACTAGTTTCTTCACAGATCTGATTTATAAACCACAAAAGGATGCCGAAGTTGTCATGCATAAAACACGGCGAGAATGCCCTTCGTGTTATTTATTTATTCACTCATTTGTCAGCGCTGTGACAGGCTGCTGCTGGCTGGCTGGATCAGTGCTGTCAGGAGGCTCCGTGTCTCATTAGATCTCTGTTTCACTGCAGTTAATCCAGCTAGTTAAAACCAGTGAGCAGATGTTGGGTCTAACAAAGGGTCTGCGCCGAGCCAAAACCAGTAATGGGAAATGAGCGGGGACCAGTTTCACAGGACGTACAGCCCAGTTATCTGTGGTTTCACAGAGTCAGTCAGTCCGTCTCTGTGTCGCCTACCTGACTGTAAACGTCCAGCTGTTTTCCTGTCTCTGTCCATCCCGTGTGAACATCTGTCTGTCTGTCTGAACACTGGAAGATTTTATTTCCCTTTTTTGCTTTCGCCAATTATTCAATTAGCTGATCAACTGTTTCAACTGTGAATTGAATATCTCTGTGTTTTGGGCAAAACGAGCAGTACATTACTTTGAAAAGTGAGATCGTAACTCTCTTTTACAATTTTCTAACATTTTAAGCATTTTCCACAGTTTTTCTGACTAAACAAAAATAATCTACAGATGAATCGATAATGAAAATAATCATAAGTTGCATCTCGTGTAACTCATCGTTGACGTCAGCTACACATTGACCCTGACAGCACATAATATTTCATAACCCGACCTCCAGGTGTGTTGCAGGACTTTACCTGCTATTCACTATTGGTCAGTCAACTAATGATTATTTTCATTAAATTTATTTATCATTTATCATTTTTAAATAGTTTACATGTTAGAAAAACTGTGTGGATGTTTCTCTACTTGTACATACTCTGTGTGTTGAAGCATAAACGTTGCTTTATCTCAGACGACATGAACAATGAGATAGGAAAGAGTGAAAATAGTTTTTTCTGCTGAATAAATATATAGTATTTTCCCTAAACCTGGCTTTTTTCCCTCTTTCGGCCGCTGTAACAGCCACTAAAACAATCTGAGACAAAAATCATTTTTCTGTTGTAGAACTTTTCTAAACTCAGAGACGTGCCATTTGTGGAGCGGGGTCACAAGGAGGTATCGCTCGGATCTAAAGGTCACGAGCCCAAACACTGGTTCAGATGAAGGAAAAGAGAAGAGAAAGAATATTTGAGATGAGAAAGGCCTGAATAAAGACAGAGTTTGTGTAAATAAGTATCCTCAGGTTGAGATAAGTCCAAATGTTCAAAATAAGATCAGATTCATGTGACATCTGATCTGACAGACAGATTCTGTCTCTGACCGTCTGACCATCAAACTGTCTCCGACCAACTTCCTGTTTGTATTTGTGGAGCTCCCACCGACCCGCCCCACCCTTATCTCAGAGTTTTTAAGGCCGACTGCTGTTACCTTCTTTTCTTTGTAGATGCCGAGCTCCTTCTCCTTCGCTATCTTCGCCTCCTTTTCTAAAAAAAAAGAACGAAGGAACAGTCTGAACATACAAACTCTGAGATAACAATATCAATACGACACAGAGGGAAGTCACAGCAGGCCACAAGCTTAAACAAGTGGCAGGTTCGGTTGGAGGTTTCACTCTGTTTGGCTGATAAAAAACACTGGAAGGTGCAGTGTGGGACAAACCAGCCGCTTCATGCAAGAAATGAAAGTTAAATTCTGCCTTGAAACAGAAATCATGTTGCATCCTGACAGTACCTTTCTGCTCTTTGAGGTAGTCGGAGTTTTCTGCCATCCACAGCGCCGTCTTGATTTTGATTTCTTTGTCATCCAGCAGATACTGCGGAGAGGCAGAGGGACCGTTGGTGGAGTTCAGGGAAAAGTTATCACAGAAACTAAGAGTGGTTTTACATCTGGGGGAAAATGATCTCTTCTTCAACCGCCGCCTCATTAATTCTCACACAATATCATGAACACATGTACAATTATAATGCAGTCTATAAGTCTAGAAATGCTAGCTTAGTTTTGATGGTAGTTTAATTCTATTATTTTAATTTTAGATTTGAATTCCACCAACCAAATTACAATAAACATTACAGAACATATTTTAGTTTTACTCGTGTTTTATTTTGAAGCTAAAATGTCGTTGTGTAAATAAACAGCCAATCACCAGCGTCATTAGATCTTGGTTCCAAGCATGCTGCATGCTGATTGGCTCACTGACACTGATGAGATTCACTCATTTGGTATTGAAATTTGGTATCGAGTGACATCGTTCGATCCTTAATAGTATCAAACCAATTGTCTTCAATCTGCTGATGGAAAACATCGACTTTGCAGCTTTTCTGAGTCATCATGTCTGTCATCATACGAACTATAAAATCCCTAAACTTCTACAATTTGCAAATGTTTTCAGTTCTATCACAGAAAATGTCAATGAACTTTTATTTTGCGTCACCAACATAAACGCGAGTCACGACGACTTTCGCGTCCTTGATGTTTCACAGTTCCTCTAGATTTTAGAGAGTGAATGTTTGTGAGAGATTATTGCAAGATTATTTTCCTATTTCCGTTTCCTTCAATAAAGAGCCTCAGTTCAAGAGAAAAGATTCTCACAATGTTAATCATGGTTCACTTGATCAAACCTTCCACCGAGTTTCATTGAGATTCATTAAAACTCTTGTGCAACACTGTACATGTTGTTGTGTGAGAGTTGAGGCTCCTAACGCAGCTGCCGTGGTGAGCAGATATTCTTCTGTGATGAGCCTTTAGGAGCATGTGCAGAACACCGAGTGTAAAGATTTGAATGGAGCTCATTAAGCAGCAGGTACGTACCAGCTCTATCTCGCTGTCATCTATCCCGCTCAGGTCCAGCTCCCCGCTGTCGGCAGCACCATCTGTCACACACACAAAAATCACAGCGGACACACTTAGAAAAATTTTGCTGTAATGCACATTTTTCATGACAGCTTCCACGTCCCAGAGGCAGAAACAGGAAGCAGCAGCTGGCCAAAAAAAAAAAGAAAAAGAAAGAAACATGCTTCTGCATCTCCTCGTCGTGGAACATCTTCCATCAATCAGCAAATAAAATGCACTGTGACTCCTGATAAAAACGTTAATAGGCTTAACTGGCAGTTTAAGCGGATCTACCTTAACACACTTTCTTTTCAATTACGATATGCTTTCTAGATTCAAACCCGCTTTATTTTCAAACCACAGAGATGCTGAAATGGCAATTTGCATTATTTTTTTTTTCGCTGTGACGCTCGCGACGCCCGAGACGACACGCTGCTCTCTCCCCCGCTTCTACCTGCGATGGAGCTGATTGCCAGAGCGAAACAACAGACGTTTTAATTTTGTTGACAAAAGAAAGCAGCATCTGAAATCCTCAGGTGTGCACGCGGTTCAAAGAAAATCTAGCTGACTTTGATAAAAGGAAACAAAAGACTCTTTTTTTTTCATGTCTTTGACAGTAGAAGAAAAGCCATCAATAGGAAATTCAGCAGCTTTCACTCCAAAGATCCTCCACCTTGATTAGCTGTTTTGGAACAAAGTGCGACTCCTCTCCGGCTGCTGACAGACATCAGATAGTCAATCAAAGCAGCAGAGATGGAAAGAAACGTTTTAAAGAGGCGGCAAAGCAGCAGATTTATGGGAGTCGTTTAACTTCTGTCAGCTTTCTGCCTTTGACATGTTCACAGCCCCCCCCTCCCCCCCTCCCCCCCGCGTTGAGTTCAAACTCCCAACAGGGCGGCATCTTCAAAGAAGTGCCACCTGAGTCCACAGGCAGCTTTCCCGCTTCATTAAGGAGAGACAGGTGCACAGAGAGGGAGGGAAAACACGAGGAAGACGAATACACCCGTCCTCAGACAGTGAAGTGTGTGTTGGCTGCACGGTGGAGGTGGTGAGGAGGGGAGGAGGTGATGGTGGAGGTGGTGGAGGGGGGATAATCTAGTCAGCCATTTGAGTTCAGTTCGCAGATTGCAGCTTCCTTAAAAAAGAAACCGCTCCAGAGGGAAGAGACAGGTCAGTCGCTATCTGGCGGGCCCAGCCCTCTAAGAACTTCCTCTCCGTGAAGTGTGAGGGCGAGATAAGACAGAGACAAGCCCTGGGAGAGATCAGCCGCTCCGGGAGGCAGAGAGGCAGCGAGACTAAGAGCTGATAAGACCGGTCCAACCCCGGAGAGAGGAGGGGGGAGGGAGCAATTACTGAGTTATTATTCAGCTGCGGCTTTGATATATCTACACTCGCTAATTTGATCAAACCCATAAAATTGTTCTTGGTGAGCGTGTAGAAGAATCTGCAGACGTCAGGTTCAGAGTTTCACATCGACTGAAGGAAGGTGAAGTTTGAATGTGAGGTTATGTTCCACTTGTTTGGCATTAACGTCCTTTTAATCACAAAACAGAGACTGGAAAGTCCAGGAGGAGGAGGAGGAGGAGGAGGAGGTCCTGGTCTGGACTGGAGTCACATGGAGGGCGCTTTAATAAAAGTGCTACAAACGAGACCCGAGTGTCAGAACTGATATCGAGTTACACCGTCTCCAGGTGCTTTGTTTGTCAAATACAACATCGCTGCATCAGTGTTTAACGCTGAAGCTTTTGTCTGAATGAAACAGCGACTCCAGCCTGTGAAACGTTAGTTGATCAGAACATGTGATCAAAGAGTCAGTAAACGAGTCCAACACTACGTCTGACAGTCTGACGTTAAAATGCAGTTTCTGTATCGCGACGACTCTCGGTCATCTTCGGTCTTTTTCAGTCTGCGGTGAAACACCTGAACGTTTGAAAGACACCCAGGCCCCGCTGCTCTCTGATCACCTACATACACTGAGTTTAAGTTGCTTACAGCTGCACCGTGTGTACTGGCATTTAAAATATGTTAAATGCACCAGAAAGTCGTCTCCACGCAGCCCACGACCACGACCACGACCGGGACCGGGCCGCCTCCATCATCGTTCTTCCAAAACTTCCCCCTGAACCGAAACACCAGTGTTCAGGGATTTATACTCTGGAGATCAATTTTTGGGAAAGCTCTGCTTCCTGGTGAGGAACACCAAAACGCCAAAACAAATACAAGAATATGCATTTTTTTCTTTAAATTTCAAGCAGTTTGAACGGCGACCTGCTGGTGGAAGTATTTAAGGTTCAAAATCTCAATGCGACAATTCACGTGTTCTTCCTGATCCAGCTGAAGTATGAGCAGAACCGCCTCTTAATGCGTCTTGAAGAGGGTCTGTGTGTTTAAACCACAAATGACAGAGGAATAATGAAGGACTTTTCATTTGCTGAGAGGTGAGCACCTTGGATTGCTCAAAGATTTAATCAGCACAGTTTTGATTGAACCGCTAAACGATTCCTTCTCTTTTCATTCACTGTTTGTTTGTTCTGGCTGATGAACAAATTCCACTCGGCGCTAAAAAACCCGACTGAGAGGAAGAAATACAACTTTTTTTCATTTTTCTGTGAAGTTCTGACGACAAAGTTTTTGAACAACAACACACACACACACACACACACACACACACACACACACGCACAAACAGTAGATCTCCGGCAGGTGAAGGCTGAACTAAATGAGATGTCTCCTCATTAACGGGAGCCGTTTGGCCCCTCGTCAGGGGAAACGGTTGAAGGCCAAAGTCGTCTTGTGTCACTGCGAATGAGCAGAAACGGATCACAGCATCTCATTAGAAGAGAGAACGAATCTCAGATCTGCAGCATATTAACAAAAAAAAAAAAAAAAAACGCCACAAAAAAACTTCCAAATCCTGCAGGGAAACTGAAATCCCCTCCCCGATGACCTCGTCCTCTTCCTGTCCGGGCTGACAGCAGCCTCGGGTCCTTTGGCAGCGGCTCCGTAACTTAGAGATTCAGTTCTGCCTCCGTATCGGTACAGAAAAGAAAAACGGGATTCTGCAGTGGAACAAACCTCTGACCTCACGCTGAGGGAAGATCTGGAAACGATCCTTCTGACCGAGCTCTGCTCCGCCGTTTGTTTTCAGTAACTAACTACTTTTTCCAAACTTTTCAAATTAAAAGAAATGTCATTAAGTAGTGCATCAAAGGATTTTAAAAAGGGTCGGCTCATCCAAATTACACAAAAATAATAATAACTCCTCTCTAACGTCCTGCTGTGTTTGGTGATGCAGATAATCGTGGTTTTTATTCACTGTGAGCTTTACATTTACATTGTGTGCAGTTAATGCATCACGTTTAAAATGTGAAACTAACAGTTGAGTATTATTTTGGCCTGTTGTTAATTTCCTCATAGAAGTAGAAAACGCTGCATAATGCACATAAATCTGCTCCTGATATCTAGAGATTATCCAGAGTAACAGTTTCGTCAGTCTGGACTGAGGTGGGGTCTCAGAGAAAACCAAACCAGACACCCACCAGAAGTCATTTAGGTGAAGTGACCCAGAGTGATTCACATATTTAATCTCCCGTGGATCCTTGTCGTCACGTGGAGTCAAATTGACAGAAATCAATTTTTGCTGCTCTCCTCTTCGAGCAGTTTGTCCAGAAGTGTCCTTGGACAAGTTACTGAATGCTGAATTGTTGGTGACGCATCATCAGTGTGCGAGTGATAGAAAAGCACAGTATGCACAGAGGATGTGTGAGTGTGTGAGTGAATGGGTGAATGGGTGAACGTGGCTTGTGGCGTACAGCACTTAGCGTAGTGGAGTCCGTTCACCGTTTACCGTGAAACAAGGAATCTGAAGACGTCACCTCGGGCTCCGGCACCTTCTCCCGTTTCACTGGAAACATGATGAATCGCTTTAATCAGATTAACTGATCATGAAAATGATCGTTAGCTGCCGCCTCAGTCTATTAAGGTCCTAACTGTCACGTAACCTTGACGATGACATGAACGACCTTTATCAGATGCGCTGTAATGACGGCGAAGACGATCAAAACAAGACGATAAATTTATAGCTCAACGTGTGGGGAGTCCCGGTTCATCGTCCCATAATGCACCATCACTGACAACGGGTCAATGATGTCATGTACCTGACTGCGATCCTCGTGTATTTCACAGAGTTACACTCGTTGTGGAGTGACCTTCTGTGTCGGGACCTTTTCAAGTGCGTGTCTTCACATCTCGTTAAGCTTCCTTCATGTGGCGTCAAAGCGAGGCAGCTCGCATTTGCTCACAGCGGTGCGTTCGACAGAAGTCTCTGAAGACGCCAAATTCAATTTCTGAAGCCGACGACTGGCGGCTTGAAAACACATCGAGTGAGACACAGAGACAGGCGACGTGACGCAGCAGCGGTCGGATTCCTCGCCGCCGTGCCCGCCGGCTGTAAACTCTATCCCCCTGTTGTCTCCTGGTCCTCACACACAGGTAACCTGACGCCAGATTTACCCCGCTGCCCCTCCCCCCCACTGCCTCAGAAATACCCCAAAAAATACCCTCCCTCCTCCCACACATCTCTGTGTCCCGGGTGGCGGCAGGCCTGTCTGATGTGGTCAGGAGAATAAGATGCTTCACTGCAGAGGCTCTCTAATACCACAGAAGAAGAAAAAAAAGAGAGAACACAAAGAATCTGGGGAAGGAAAAAAAAAAAAAAAGCCCCGCAGGAACAAACGCTAACAGGTGAAGGAGACGGCCTTTTGAAGGCGGCGGGGAAGGGAGAGAACGAGGGATTTAAAAGGAACGAGCGAGCGGGTGAGAGGGGGGGAGAGCTGCTGGGTGAGGGTCTGAGCTGAACTGAGCCGGTGTTGTTCTGTATTCTTCTTAGTGTCCGCAAATCCCAGGAAAAGACCAGAACCAGCGATTTGTTAGTGACTCTCTCGACACTGTCGGACTTCCTCGCTGAGCCGCTGGTTCCTACTGAAGGCTCAAAAATATACAGATTCATTTTCAGTAACTTCCTGAAACAGCTGATCACTGT